CACACACACACACACTAATTAACAGAGCTCTCTCTCCACTTGGCTTCCCTCTCTAATTGGCTCACCATTTCTTCCCATTAATTATGCTCCATTTCATACCCCCTTAATGAGTCTAGCCCCGCCTCCCTTCTTTAACGCTAATTAGCAGCTTTTTGAGTCTGACAACAACAACACGAAGAGGACCTTCTAATGTTTTACAGCGTGTTAACATTTCCGTGTTTTGTCCCTCCACAGCACCCGTACCCGTCAGAGGAACAGAAGAAGCAGCTGGCTCAGGACACCGGCCTCACCATCCTGCAGGTCAACAACTGGTGAGTCGTTGGCAACGCCACACTCTTGTTGTGTTTGGGAAGCCCGCCCCCCCACCAACCCCCAGAGGCAACCCGCAGCTAATGATTTGAATGATTAATTCCTGTGGGGTTGCCCCGTCTCCAAATATCCCCCAAGTACAGTCACAGAAGGGGGGGGGGGGGTAACCGGAGAGTTAATTGGAGCTTGGAGGGGGGGAAAAAATATACTATTGGTTGCAAAATGTAATTTAATCTTTTTATGTGAAAAAAGGAACATTTCTTTAACAGTAAACCAGTAATTTTATGATTACTTTACAGAATTACAGATTTGTCTGTTTATTTTACATTAAACTGTAAATTCACAGGAATATTTTGTAAATGTAATAAATATTTAATGTATTTATAAAGCATACAGAATAAATCTGTAAAAAAAAAAAAAGGAAAAAACAGTGCAGGACACTTTCGAATAGAGAGGTTTTTGACCCCAGACGTTCCCCACCATGAAGCCAAAGCACTTGGCCACAGCGGCAAGGGAAAAACCTCTGGTAGGCTTGACCAGACTCCGGCTCAAACACGCCCTGACTTGTCGAGGTGAACTCGTTTCTGCTGTTTACTGCAAAATTTAAATGTTCATAATCCCAGTGTCCACACTCGATTGAATTATGGGATTCTGATTCATTAGGCAAATCCCCGTTTCAGTGGTACAGATCAATTAACCAGTTCCATTTGCAGAACCACAATAAGTCTCACTGAAGACCTCTGTGATGGTTCCATATTAAACCATTTCATTTGGACTTTAAGGGGCAGAGTGACATTTATGCTGACTTATCCTTGAGGTGAATTAATACAAGCACCGCCACTGAACTCAACCCTGCCTTTATTGAAAAAGGCCTTCGTTAATATGGGCACCGGCGGCCTTGTGATTCCTTTACACAAAACTCTTGCCTCAGCCAAAAATGAAAAATACAAATCAAACCAGTATTAACTATTTAAAATAAGGCTAGTGATAAGCAGCTAGAACTGGGTTTTTAAGAGGTTTTTATACATCAACGAACCTTCTATAAAATCCAGAACCAGCCTCTAATTGAGACGTGCTTTTTTTGTAAAACAAGGCTAGTATAAAGGAGACCTGCCTCTAATTGACTGGTGCCTTTTTAACTTGAAGTTTAGACCTTAAAATCCCCAACTGTGAAAACTTGCTGACGTTTCCATTTTCTATATCAGTTAAACAGGACACATCCCGAACAGTTTACTCCAACTCCGCAAGCTCCAATTACTCTCCGGTTACCCCCCCCCCTCTCGTGACTGTACTTGGGGAATATTTGGAGACGGGGCAACCCCACAGGAATTAATCATTCAAAATCATTAGCTGCGGGTTGCCTCTGGGGGTTGGTGGGGGGGCGGGCTTCCCAAACACAACAAGAGTGTGGCGTTGCCAACGACTCACCAGTTGTTGACCTGCAGGATGGTGAGGCCGGTCCTGGAGCCAGCTGCTCTTCTGTTCCTCTGACGGGTACGGGTGCTGTGGAGGGACAAAACACGAAAATGTTAACACGCTGTAAAACATTAGAAAGGTCCTCTTCGTGTTGTTGTTGTCAGACCTCAAAAAGCTGCTAATTAGCGTTAAAGAAGGGAGGCGGGCTAGACTCATTAAGGGGTATGAAATGGAGCATAATAATGGAAAGAAATGTGAGTCCAATGTA